CGTTGTTCCACGCCGGGGAGTCCCACACACGCCGCGCGTCCAGCCAGCGCGCGGTACGGTCCCGGATTTCCCATCGACAAAAAAAAAAGGTCCAGGATGGTTTAAACGGTGAGCAAATATGGAAAAGATAGTAAAAACATCAATTTCATTTCCCCATATAAACTGTTTTAATTACTTTCCGGCAAACATTGTATTGTAAGCGGTACGAAGTTCGCCGGGTCAGCTAGTTAGATACGAGTGAGTAATAATGTATCTGAACTTGAATGTAAATGCTACAGGAGTTTTATCTTTATTAATCACTATGTCTAGATAATATGAAGGATAGACTGCGGTCGAAAATAGTTCAAATTAAGATAAACATGCCAGTTTTTCGAACATATTTAGGGTTCCTAATCAACAAGGAATCCTTATAGCTACGCTATATCCGTCGATCCGTCGGCAGCTTAGCTCAGAGATTATCAGTAATATTAGTATAGTACTAGAAAGTAGTAATTTAGTATGATATATAATACTTAATAAAAAAATTTTTTAGGTACCTCTTAGATTTAATCATATATCGCCCCTTAACGTTTTGTGGAAATTACTAGTTATTTTGGAGGGAAATAGCATATTTGGTGAGAAGACACTCGATGCTAAACGAGGTTAATACCTAAGTGTTGAAATTCTTGCCATTTAACTTCCATATGGACACCGATGATGTTTGTGACGTATTTGGCTTACTGATGGAGGACAGTTTTCCATAGGATTTTTATGTACACTTTTCTGTATCTGCGATATTAGCCCACTAGTTATTAGGAGAGAAATAATTTGTAATATTTACTTAAGTTTATTAATACAGAGTGGCATGCAACAGAAAAGGTACAGTGATAAGTGACACACATTTAAATTATACTATGCCATACCTACGTAATACGAACAGGGTGTTCGCATTGTAAACCAAATCTAAGGAATCCATTCTTAAAATACTGTCTAACATTTTACCAAGTAGTCGCGGGTTTGACATGAGTTTAAGAAGAAAACGTCATACAAAATTTCCTTTGCTTCATTTCATTAACGGTTTTTAAACCATCTATATCGGACGTAATGGCGGATAGCGGCTATGCGAAAATTTACCTTATTTTTTTTTGTCTGGTAAATGCCTTACGCATCCTTCAACCACCGGGGGAGCGAGAAGAAGGTATGTGGGACTCCTCCCTGCTCATTTCAGCCAGCCCTTAGGCCGGGTGAAATGAGCAGGGCCCTACTTAACGCCCTGAACAGGGCCACTAAAAACCAGAAAATACTCCTGCACCGGTCACCCGGCGTACATTCTGAGGACCGCAGTCCCCCCAATGCACGCCGGGACTGCGGGTGTGGTTGCGGCAACCGTGCGTGCTAAATCTATACTAATATTATAAAGCGGCAGAGTTTGTTTGTTTGAACGCGCTTTCTTTCAGTGTTGGGTAGTCCATTTATCGAGGAAGGCTATTTTGTTACACAAGGTGTAAAATCGAAAACCTATTTTTGCGTGCGCTGCAAAAACTATTGACAATAGAACAAAATCATGTACTACGGGTTTGTAGATCCCATTAAGACCTACAAAAAAGTCCGCGAGAACATATATATATAGCTATCATGGTTTAATCACAATAACCGATTTTCTGTTCAAAGTAATTATTAAAACTACGTTAAATATGTATCGTAATATTAATCTTTATCAAAATTAAGCATTATGTTATCAAGAGTATTTATGTAGAAGTAAAATACTTTTTGTTTCATCTCAATCGGATATTTCGTTTAAAAGTTATCACGTGTGTAAAGCCGCGTATCCACTAGAGGCAGAGTCGGGTCGAGCGGCGGCCTCACTCCGAGGCTGCGCAAGTGGAGACGCAGCCTCAACCTGAGGCACGCCGCGACGCGAGGCAAATTCGTCGCCGCTTGCCGAGCCATATTTTGTCGGTTTCTGTGCCGTGCTCAAAGACGCCTCAGTCCGAGCCGTGTGTTTAATGGAGACGGGAGGAGTCGCTAAACTTTCGAAAGCTATCGCCACCTTCCAACGTCATGTCCAATAGCAAGTGTCCACATCCATGTATAGTTCTATTGCGGTTTAGTTCTTTTATCCACCAGCGATGCTTCCTCTTTTGTATAGCTTTTTGTTGCCTCCTCTTTTTCTTAATAATGGTTATTTCTATTAAAGCAGCAGCTACGCGTTTTTGCTTTTAACTGCGCAGTGCGCCGCCAGCGGATCAAGCTGAGGCGACACGCCTCGAGCTGATCCGTAGCCGTTGCCTCAGAGCGAGCAGCCTCAAACTGAGGCTATTTGCTTCAAGTCGAGGCCGCTCGACGCGAGGCTGCCTCTAGTGGATACGCGGCTTAAGATGTTAAAAGTTGGTACCTATTAATGAGTTATGGGCCATAGAGCTTTTTATCAACATAAAATACAGTCATAATCTTTCTTATTTTTCTTAATATTATAAAGCTGAAAAGTTTGGTTGTTTGTTATGAACGCGGTAATCTCGGGAAATACTGCTCTGATATGAAAACTGTTTAAATATTCAATAGTCCATTTATTGAGGGAAATATTTTATCTCGGTATTTCCACGGAAACGAGAAAAACGCGGGTGAAACCGCGGGGCACGGCTAGTCAAAAATATAATGAAAAAAAAAAGAGTACAATTACAGATTCAGTAGTAAGGCACCTCGCACACTATAAAATAGACATTACAAACGATGCATTGGGCGTTTCGCCCCACTCCTTGGATGCGTTTCGGAACAACCTTTTCTAAAGTATGTAGTACGTGGGTCGAAGCGACCAAAGACCCTTTACGCGTATGAATAAATGCGTTGCAGTAAGAGTGAAAATTAAAAAAAAAACTTCCAAAATACAAATCCAATCCAAAATTATAATCTCAGCTAACATTCAACGAATAAAGCGAATTTAACCATTCAGTTTTCGCTTTTTGGCTAGAATTGACTCGTGTAAATGCCGTATAGCAACCATTAAAACCGACTAACTAACTCGGCACAAATAAAGCAATGCAAAAGTATTTGCTTTAATTAGTTTTCCTACATTCACTTCGATAACACGAGTTTAGTCTAATAAAACTCGATTGTTTGTAAATTTTATTACTTACCTATTTTAATAATTGGTAAAAGTGTAAATGCCATAGTTCTTTATGAGTACGGCATTTACCAAATGACAAAGTTTTATGCCATGTAATTGGATTGCAAACCAAACAATAAACCAACTCGTTATCATCAGCCTGTTAATGTCCCGGTTGTTGGGTGACAGGCCTTCCCTATGGATGGTATAGGGAGATTGGGCCGTGATTAGTGATATAAAATAAAAAAGTACTTCTTTTTTGATCATTTTATAAAGAAACATAAAAAACAAAAGGTTGTATATTTGAAAAATAAATGTAATAATTATCTAATAGATAAATATTTATCTATACTACTAGATAATTTTTCCTTTTGCTAACCATAAAACACTACTTAAAATTCTTCATATTATATTTCCAGATTATTTAAACATTATAAGCATTGTCACTATAGCTTTAATATCCGATCATGAAAAAAAGCAGTCATCTGTTTTACAATTCGATGAACGCAAGTTCATAAAACGAATAAAAGCTCTAGAGTCCTCCAGTTTACACAGCACTGCGCACTGTTATCCCGCTATTATTCTGGCATCAAGCTGATTATAGCAATAGACTTTTATTGATGAGATATTTATTGGCGATATCGGTAACAGAGTGACAAGAATAACTACGTCCTCATCTTCGATGTTTCAAATTGGTCCTGTTGAGTCGATAAAAAATAATCAGTTATTTAAATATTTCATATACTCACCATATAGGCTATACTATATCCAAAGCTTAGAGCATCTAATACTATAGATAGTGTTATATCTAGGGTAATATATAGAATTACATGTTTTATATAAATACTAGCTGACCCGGCGAAATTCGTACCACCTAACAAATAAAAACGGTCAAGTATGTATGTGTCGGACTAGTGCATTTCAGAGTCTCTTACCCATGGTCGTATGTACTGTATAACTAGAATTGAGTACTTTTACATATGAAACGGGATGAGTGAAAGATATAGAACAGAGACCTTTAATCCTTTTTTAATAAATTGATTATAACTTTTTTTAATAAAATATTAAGTACCTACAAAATCTATAATGTTGATACCACTGTTTTCTGAAAGTACTGGAATTCAAGAATTCACCTGTTTCATCCATCCATATCAATTCATTCATGCTAGCAGGACACCAATGAATAATATCAAAGAAAAAAAAGACCATTTTGCTGTTTCTATCTATATTATCGTGGCTGTTATTTAAGTAATAAACTGGTGACCCTAATTAAAAATTGAAAGAAACAAAATTTTATTTCAAATACCCTTTTCCAAGTATAAATTTATGCGTTTTACAGATTGTTCAACGTCTGATTTTTAATTGTCTGAACAATATACTAATTTTGATTTGATTAAGTTTACCCAATATTTTGGGGAATGTGGCCTATCCTGGTATTTAAACTAATGAGACAAAAGGATTGACATTTTCAAATTTAAATTGAATTCGTATATTTCGACATAGTGTAGATACAACTATTGACATAAATATTATACTAACAACCATTCGTAATGCGTTTAAAACACATAAAATGATTAAATTTAGAAAAGTCTAAATTAGGCGACCATTGGTTTTATAAAATTTTTTAGGGATATCTTTAAGTGATTCTCAAAAAAAAATTATCCCTTAAAATACGATGGGTAACTTAAAGGTTAGGTTTGGTTACCAATTGCATTTTTATGAGAACCAATTACTATTTTATTGATGATATGTGCCATATGTACCATATTTTATTGTTTAACTGAAACTATTAGTATGTTTTTGTTTTGCTTTTGTATAAAAATAATCACTTATTACTTCATTGCTATAAAACATTAAAAACGCAATTTTCAGATGGTTTATATCATATTGACTTATGGTTTTCAAAACCTCTTTTCAGCCAAGCTGGGTGCGCACGAAAGAATTTTGGGATAAAACGTTTGAAGATCGCTACGAAAAGATGCGCAATGACACACATCGGCCTAGACTGAAGGTGAGTTTTGCATTTTTTTTATGATCTAGGAAACAATCGCATATCTACACATGAATACAGACTAGATGTTTAAGACTCAACAAGCTTAATTTAAGTAAATTAAACTCGTGATAATATTTCATCAGCCTATGGACATTCTTCTGGTGACAGATATTACAGCATAGCGACACACATAAAAAAACTTTTCGTAGCTGTCATAAACACGAAAACGGGGTATAATTACGGCAACTGTCTGCGGAGCATAACGCAAACTGCACACGTTTCTTACAAAAAACAGTCATCATTATGATGACTGTAATTTTAGGTTAAACGTGTAAGTCGGTATAGAGCGCAGGCAATGTAAAAGCTGGGTATAATTACAAAGTTATTTAAAAAAGAACCCGTTATTATGATGATAAATAAATCGTAATGGGAAGTTTCTGAACGATTCTTTGTGCAACCATCGTTGGTATTGGAACCTAGTTTTAATTCTACGAACTAAGTTCCCGTTACCAACAGTACCCCAAGGACGAACAACTAGCGAGAAAGTATTGCTATCGTTTTCGTCAAACTTTGTATTGAAAGAGCGCGTTTGTTCTTAACGTCCGGAAGGGGCACTGCTTAGTTTCCATATAAACTTTGACATGACGATACGATTACTTTTGCTGAATGTACTGAATATATAACGTAGAGGCTTTATCTACTAAAAATCTTCATTCAAGTAACTCTTCAAGTTAACGTAAATCTCTATAGAAAATCCTACCATTTGGTATGCGACTTTAATGTAATATTGGGTAAAAGCGTCAAAAGGTATGAAGTATTCCGTTATTTAAAATACCCACCTCTTTCAATGTGTTCACATGAATGGAGATCAAAGCGTAATATTATGTACTTTCTGACGGAGCATGGAAAACAAAAGTAATAACGCGCGCTTTTCTGAAATGTCTTGTGCTTCCCGAGGCGCGACAAAGTGGAATTTAATTACGTAGTAGGTAGGTAGGTACTATAGTCTAGCACCGCTGTAATTTTAAAAATTAAAAGTACTGAAACAAGAAAGTTGTTCGTAAAAGAATTACGCTCGTTAAAAAAAGGCTTCCAAATATACTTCTTACACTGGATAAAACAAGTTTTAACGGGTTAGATGCACTGATTTTATTTATTTATTGACGTTGCGCATCCTTTGCTAGCATCCAACCCGTTAAAACTTGTTTTATTTAATGAGTGATGTGCGCGAAAACCCAAAAAACAAATATTATTACACTGGATTGAAAAACTAAGTATCACACTTCTAAAATTGCAGTAAGAAATAAAGAGAACTTAAAAAAGAGTTTTATTTTGTACTATACTTTCAAAGAAAGCTGATAAAAGGATCCATTCTTTTTTCCAGACAACTTTGCCTAATCTTGTACCTCAAGTATTATCATGAATTTATGTTAAAAAAATCCCTGGAGTTCATTAAAATTAAAAAAAAAACTATAAATTTTTTTTTAATGGTTTTAAGTATCCACTTGTACCACATAAAAATTACCACATAATGTCGTTTAAACATTTAAATTAATGGCAACAAGTAATATATTGTGGTAAATGTGCATCTATACATTAAGTAAATAAGCTCCGGAAATCATCTATATATATAAAACTCAAAGGTGACTGACTGACATAGTGATCTATCAACGCACAGCCCGAACCACTGGACGGATCGGGCTGAAATTTGGCATGCAGGTAGATGTTATGACGTAGGTATCCGCTAAGAGAGGATTTTGATCAATTCTATCCCCAAGGGGATAAAATAGGGAATGAAAGTTTGTATGAAACTTTGTCAATTTTAAACCGATCGGGCTGAGACTTTGCAGGTATAAGAAGACTCATTTATTATTATTTATTATAGATTAATGTCATTGTGTATAATACAAGCCTGAGAACAAAAACTGTAGTCTACACTTCAGCTCTACACCGAAGCGAAGCGAGGGCGGGCCGCTAGTCTAAAATAAACCTGATCCTTTCGCATTGTAGGTAACCTACAATATTAAATGAATATCTTTAGAAGTATTAAACATATGAAAGAAGAAATTGCAATTAAAGTAACATATATTTTTATTTTTTAAGCACTTAAATGCTAGATGTTTAATGATGTTTTTATGCCACCGCGGCCCGGTTGGCTGTGTTGAATTTTCTCTAATATTTCTTAGGCTGCAAGGCAGCGCCATCTCATCGCATTGTAGGTAATAACGTTGAGTAACGTTTTTACCCGGCTGCGCAATGCAAGAGCGCGAAGCGCGACGCGCAGACAGGGTTGTGTTTAACAGTCTATATAGGTGTGTTTGTTAAGAGTCGGGACCCATTATTGAAAAATATTATGTATTCTTGAATATCTAATGGGTCCCGACTGTTAAAGTAGCTTTGTTCCTTATTAACAGAATTATAGACTACTGGACTTGTTATTTTCTTTTCAGTTTTTATTTGCGCTATAATTAATCAGTCGAGTTTTTTGATTTTTTAAATTTACCTTTTTTTTTTAATGTTAGGTTATAAAGTTGCTATAAAGTAAAGTATATTATATTAAGTATAAATTTAGATGTTTATTGAGGTAATTTGCACCATGGTACAAAATTGGCACATCATCGAAGGTCTCCTTTTCTAAACGTTTTTATTTTAAATATGATAACAGTGTATCCTTCTCATTCTCTATACAAAATGAAAACTTTTTTAATCAAAAAATAAAAATCGACTTCATATAAACAAAACCACTAAAAATGTAGAAATAATACATTCTCTTTACTTCAGTCTAAAATAACTTAAAAGTCAAATTAATATTTGGTGTCGGTGCCATGCCAGCATTGCCAATGCAAGTAGTAAATGGAAATCTCAGATCTATCTGCAGTGCCGTCTTTGACCTATTGGAGGTCCTACACATATTAGAACTAGGGACTTTGTATTTGATCTGAGGGGGCCCCCTATCGATCGCGGGGCCCTGTAAACTTGCCCAAAGTGCCCACTGGGAAAGACGGGTCTGTCTATCAGACATGCATGGCACCGACTCCAAAACATTAATTTGACTTTAAAGTTACAGACTTGAGTAAAGGAAATGTATTATTTCTTTTAATTTTTTGTGGTTTTGTTTTTATGATTGTTTTTATTTTACTTAAAAATACTTTATATTTCACTTTTTATAAGCCAGAGCAACATCAACTTACTTAATATAGATGGCCTGCGATCTCTCTTTCATATTACGTAAAATAACCAAATACGATATTTGTATTGTTCGTATTTGAGAAGTTCCGTTGTTAATCTCCGAAAGTATTTAGGAAATCTTCACCAAATTAATATGGGACCATATCGCTAATAAAATCTTCCAAATAAAAAAAGAAACATTAAAATCGGTCAAGAAACCTCAGAGATATGCGCGAACAACAAACAACAATAAAAAATAAAGTTACTAATTGAGAACCTCCGTCTCTTGAAGGCGATTAAAAATGGGAGGCTGATGTTGAATTTAGTTTTAAATTTAGAGAATTAGGCCAGATTCGACACCAGTGATCACTTTAAAGTAATTCACTATCACCTGCAGTGTATTTTAAAGTTTGCAATTGGCAAAATTTCATTAGTTACCTGCAGCTTAAATTACTTAACTTTGAGCTCATTTTATTTAATCAATTAAAACTTCATGTGGAAACATTAACTTCGTTTATACCAATGTGTAACGAGGAGCTTGAATGCGTAGGTAGTTAGCGTGTTTGATCTGCATTCGCAAATGTTAAGTAACTTTTCTAATGGCTGATCATTGGATGGGTGACCAATAATCTTATCTCTACACCTGACCGTAAGTCCCCTGTGGAGGAGCCATAGTCCGCTGCCCTGAAGTACTCCAATTATCGTGGAAAATAAAAATAATATTCAAACTTTTTTCTTTTATAGGTAATCGTAGTTCCTCACTCGCACAACGATCCCGGTTGGCTGAAGACCTTCGAGCAGTACTTCGAGTGGAAGACTAAAAATATTATCAACAACATCGTCCAAAAGCTGAACCAATATCCGAATATGACATTTATATGGACAGAAATATCCTTTCTGAATGCTTGGTGGGAACGTTCGCATCCTGTGAAGCAAAAGGTAAATATTTGTTCATATACCGAGTGTGTGGTGCTGTGCGGACCTAAGAAAATTTTTGTTACTTACATTATAAAATAACATAATTTTATAGGCTCTAAAGAAGCTAATCAAGGAAGGACGCCTCGAGATTACCACTGGTGGCTGGGTTATGCCTGATGAAGCTTGCACACATATCTATGCGCTTATTGATCAATTTATTGAAGGTAATAATAATGATATACACATTTTAAATAACGAATTTAATTGCACCCTACTCTTATTACACACTCCCGTTTTACAAATGGACCTTTCTGATGATTTCATGTTATATTTCAGGTCATAATTGGGTGAAAAATAATCTTGGCATAGTGCCAAAGACGGGTTGGTCCATAGATCCGTTTGGTCACGGCCCAACAGTTCCATACTTGCTAGACAAAAGCGGTCTAGAGGGCACAATTATCCAAAGAATACATTACGCCTGGAAGCAATGGCTGGCGCAGAGGCAAATAGAAGAGTTCTTCTGGATACCGGGCTGGTCCACAAAAAAGCCATCTCTCATCGTTCATAACCAACCGTTTGACATTTATTCTATAAAAAGCACTTGTGGACCACATCCATCTATATGTCTAAGCTTCGATTTCCGAAAAATTCCCGGCGAATACTCGGAGTACACGGCCAAACACGAAGAAATTACGGACCAAAATCTTCACAGTAAATCGAAGACCCTGATTGAGGAGTATAATCGTATCGGCTCTCTGACTCCCCACAATGTTGTACTGGTTCCGCTCGGGGATGATTTTAGATACGATTATGAAGTGGAGTTTGACGCACAGTACATAAACTACATGAAAATGTTCAATTACATCAACAGCCACAAAGAACTGTTTAATGCTGATGTTCAGTTTGGCACACCTCTTGATTATTTCAATGCCATGAAAGAGAGACACGCTAATATACCAACGCTAAAGGGAGACTTCTTTGTATATTCAGATATATTTAGTGAAGGAAAGCCGGCCTACTGGTCTGGTTACTACACAACTAGACCATACCTTAAGATTCTAGCACGACAATTTGAACATCAACTGAGAACATCTGAAATATTATTTACGCTTGTGTCGAATTATATAAAGCAGTCAAATGACCATAGGCTTGTCGCTACGGAGAAAAGATTGGAGAAAGCATACGAACAGCTTATCAACGCCAGAAGGAATTTAGGTCTCTTCCAACATCATGACGCCATTACCGGTACATCTAAAGCTACTGTTATGTATGACTACGGCACTAAATTGTTTACCAGTATATATCATTGCATTCGCTTACAAGAGGCCGCGTTGTCTGCCATCATGATTCCTGATGAAAATCTACACACTCAGAGTGTTTTGCAAAGCGAATCTGAGTGGGAAACCTACGGAAAACCAATAAAGAAACTTCATGTCTCTCACATCGATAAGAAAAAAGTTGTGGTGTTCAACGCGTTAGCTGAAGCGCGGATTGAAGTTATCACTGTAAGATCAAATACAACCAACATTAGGGTTTATGATAATCGTTTGAAACAATACGTTCAATACCAAATCACCCCTAATATTGACATCAAGGAAAATGGCAAACGCGTTGTTAGCGAAACTAACTTCGATGTACTATTCGTCGCACACCTGCCGCCATTGACTTCGGTCTCTTTCAATCTTGAAGAGCACACCAACAAATCTCATCATTGCGAAGTATTTTGCAACAATTGCAACGATCCACAAAAACCAGATTCAGAAAAATTATTTAACATTAAAAAGATGCTGCCTGGTGATATTCAATTAGAAAATTCTGTTATGACTCTGCTAATCAACAGGAACACAGGCTTTTTGAGACAAATATACAGAAAAGATATAAGAAAGCGCAATGTTGTTGAAATGCAATTCGGAGCTTATCAGAGCGCTCAAAGACATTCCGGAGCTTACCTCTTCATGCCCGATTATGATTCTCCAGAAAAAAGTGTTCTACATCCTTACTCTAACTGGAACAGTTTACAAGATGACAACATTATAATTGTTTCTGGACCTATTTCCACTGAAATCACGACGATGTATTTGCCGTTTTTAGTGCACACTGTTAGAATTTACAACGTAGACGACGCAGCTCTATCCAGAGGTGTGTTAATCGAAAATATTGTTGATTTCGAGAATCCGCCGAAAAATAGGGAAACGGAGCTGTTTATGAGAATACAAACAGACATACAGAACGGCGATATACCCGAATATTATACCGACCAGAACGGGTTCCAATATCAGAAGAGGGTGAAGGTGGAGAAGTTGGGTATAGAGGCTAATTATTATCCGATCACCACAATGGCGTGGATGCAAGATGAGGAAACTCGACTGACGCTGGTCACCAATCATGCGCAAGGATCAGCGGCCTTCGAGCCGGGACGGTTAGAGGTGATGCTCGACCGTCGCACGCTCTACGATGACTTCAGAGGCATAGGCGAAGGGGTCGTTGATAACAAACCCACAATATTCTACAATTGGCTATTGCTCGAATCCATGACCGGTACAGATAGAAACAAAAGGGACACTAGCGAGAAAAGCTTTGTGCACATAAACGAGCGGCACTTTAGTCCCAACCAGAAGGATTCGCGGTATGAGCTGCCTTCACAGACAGCCGATTACCTGAGCAGGGTGCTCAATTACCCCGTGAATACTTATTTGATCGACACAAGTGAGGTAGGGGAAGTGGAGGTGAAATCCCATCAGAGTTTTATCCAAAACTTCCCGCCGGGCGTGCACCTAGTGACAATGCGCACTATTACTGATGACATTCTGGAGCAGTTCCCGAGCTCATCGTGCTACATGGTGCTACAAAAACCCGGCCACAGCTGTTCCGTAGGGGACAAGTCCAAAAAGTCTGGTGTTTTCACCTCTAAAACCAAATTCAGTGGTTTACATATTAACAATTTGACGTCGGTGAGCTTGACCGGTCTGAAAACGTTCAAGACCCTGACTGGGCTTCATGATATCAAATTGGACACTATGGAAGTTAAGACATACAAGATTCGGTTTTGAAGACTGTTAGGAAGTTAGTAGGTCAGTGTATTTGTAATTTTATAAATCTCCGTAGTGTAAACTTGTGCGCATCAGTCCAGCAACGACTACATCTCCTTTCACAGTATCAATCTTATTTAGCATTTAGTACAATGTTGATTTTGTGTGAGGGCTTGGAGACGTGGGAGTAAATAAATAAATATTCCTGCATACATAAAATTTAGAAAAAATAACAAAATACCGTCATTATTTGTTGTCGTTTAAGCCTTACTTCTATACTTTAGTTGAGATTTTGGTGGTATGAAATGATTTTATTTTTGATCAGATTCTTGTTTCCTGTATCCGGAATACTGTGGTTAATAGAGCAAACTGTTTACACAAGATGGTTTTATTAAACCAGAAACATGTCAGTGTATACGTAAAATAAAAATAGGTAATCTACCCCCATATCTCTAAATCCCTTTGGATTACAAAGTCTACGTTTTTTTCGTCCTTACTCTATATAATTACTATATGCTAAATAAGATGGATGTACAGATGGGTTTTGCTGGACTGACACATTGTGAACTTGACTTACCTGAATGTGCTTTTGTCCTTTTATATGAAATAATGTTAAATATACATGAATATAAATTTTACAAGTGCAATTGAACATTTTGAAGCTCCAGTGAGCTGATAGTTGGTGAGGCGTAAATCTCATAGTCCGATTTTTATGTTTCAAATAATTATTTACAACATAAAAACTATATATTTATGTGGGCACGAGTACCTATTTATTTTAATGTTAACGCTTAAAACATCACTAACATAGTCCAATTTTCTACACTAGTTTTATTTTGTAAAAAACGCGAGTGATTTTTATGTAACATACCTGTTAAGGTTTATCAATAATAATTTTTCAATGTTCAGATAAGAGAGATTATTTATAAAAAAATAAAATTAGTTACCTGACTTATTAAAATTTATAGACACGAGGTTTTTATACAAATCAAAAAGTACAGGAGGACTGGACTGTGTACATCTGATAAGGTCTAGTATAATCTAGATGATCTACCTCAGGACCAAATGATATACCTGTTTTTGAAACTATCAATTTCTTTCTATATTTAAGAAAATAACTTATCCTTACAAATATTACATTAGACTTATGTTCAATATCATAAACTCATGTCTCAAAAGGCTAATATAATACTAACATGTAAGCTAATGTTCAAGACCTGGAGCTCTATTTTTGAATCACTCATCTGACATAGTATCGTCGAATGCGACATAAGTCACCTTCGACTTTCAAGTCGCATGATATCGATTTTCCGTATTTTTGAATCGTTCGTCACCGATGTTACCAGTTTAATACGAAATATAAAATTTTATTCATTTCACGCAGACTAAATAAAAACTGGTAATTACCGCAATGAGCACGGAACGAAAAATTCTTAGTAGATAGCTGTATAATACAATTGTATTTTGTTGTTTATATTACCGGCAATTCACTTAGCTGTTCGTGATTGCTGTTTGTAAACTTGATGTGCATTAGCCGTCATGCCATAATAAAAGAAAAAGAAACGACGTCAATCTGCCCTTGTCGTTTCATATAAAGCATAACAAGGATAGATTTTCGTCGTCTAATAGCAAAGTGCCGGCATTTGAAAAATTCAAACGTCACAACACTCATTTCAAAACAGTTTCTAATAGTTTATTTTACTCAGTGGCTAAATCCAATCACACAAGAAATCTTAATAAGTATAAGTTTAACACTTACGTGACGTCTGACACAAATTTGACAATTATTCTATCATTCGCCTCCACCATTCGCCATGCAACGAGTGGTCTCACCCATTTGTTGCACTCGAGCGTTTCAAAAATACGGATTTAATTATGTACAATGAAAATTAGTAGAAATAGAGCGTTCGACGCAAGGCGAGTGATTCAAAAATAGAGCTCCAGAACATTGTGGCTGCACTCAAGGACATTAATCTTTATTTAGGTTTGATTAAATTGAATGCTATCACATCCTTTGGATAATTAATTTAACTAGACGATAACACATCACATTGACAAACAATTTTAATTGCGTCTCTGAGTGCGGCCGTTTTAATCTTTTTATTAAGACTTACACTTGAATACGTTCAGTTTGTTCGTAATCGTAAAATGTTCACCATTAGTTACAATATGTTTCCCCAGTTAACGCTTTAGTTTATAAGTACACATTTTTAGTTTTAATTTCAATAATAATCTTTAATATTAGTTGACTGTGATAACGAACACGTCATAGTGAAATTTATTTTTTATTTCTATTAACTAACTGATGCAATCAAAACTTTTTTTTCGAATCTCGATTAATTTACCTCTGGAGTGATGAACTATTTTTTTTCATAATTTTTACTCAGTAGTTCATAGATAGCGCTCTCATTACCATAACATGTGACATTTTAAAAGTAAGAAGTAGTAATAGGGTGTATATTGTCAACATACTACGAATTTGATTCGTGCATAATCACATCCAGTGTAGAGTCCTCTAATAGAAAAAAATCAGTTCGCTGTAAGTACATAATTGAGCTTAAAAATATGGCAGCAAAACTGACTATTCGTAGTTCTAAGCACCTCGCGCACTAGACGGCCACGATCACGACCACGACCAGATCAAATAAAGAAACCATATGAACATCGCGCACTTGGCCGCAACGGCCAACTCGACTGGTCTTTGAACCGGGAAAGCTCCTCTGGTAGTTGCGGCCAAGTTACGTATAGATTGCTATTACACTCGCGCACTATATCTGCGCCCGTAAATGCGGCCAGACGGCCTATTTGCTAACTTTATTGACATTTACAGTGTGTAACTAAAAAAATGCTTTTCAGAACAAGTATGTGACGGTGATTATCACTTCCATCTGTCAAAAGCAGTTGGCGAATAGGCCTACAGGCCGTGAGTGAACACGCTTCGTATCGTAACGCAACTAAATACGATGACGTTTTTTCTGAAATGAGTTTGAGTAGAAAGTTATTTATTACTGAAATAAATAAAAAACCAGCACTGTGGGCCATGGTCGCGGCCATCCTGTGCGCGAGGTGCCCAATTCCGAATAGGTCTACAGGTCGTGAGTAAACACGCTTCGTATCGTTCCATAACTAAATACGACGCCGTTTTTCTGCGATGAGTTTCGGTATAAAGTTCTTTATTGATGAAATAAATAAAAGACCAGCACTGTGGGTCGTGGTCGTGGCCGTCCTGTGCGCGAGGTGCCTAAGTTCGAATAGGCCTACAAGCCGTTAGTGAACACGCTTCGTATCGTTCTAAAACTAAATACGACGTTTTTCTACAATGAGTTTTGGTTCTGTGGGCCATGTTCGCGGCCGTCCTGTCCGCGAGGTGCCCAAGTCCGTACGAATAGTGTTACCTTGAGCTCGGTCGATTGATTTTCTCCATTTGCGCACCATTAAGTATTGTACTATTGTTCACAATGAGTTTGTAATAATGTAATCTTTACACTACCGGTATTGGTTTCTATTTTAAAAGAATAGAATGGAAAATATAAAATTATATCTGGCTTCATAAAATATTTTACTTAGGATTGATAAATTACATTGTGTATTTTTGACGTGATTTACGTCATCCTAGCGAGTATTTCAACGAAAGTATTGTAACAAAACTTATACTCCTTAGATTGAGCGATGTGAAGCAAGCACTTGTGTTCTTAATAGGAATCTTAAATAAACAGGTTTTGAAAAGGCAGGGGATAATTATATTAGCACGAACGGTTTTCGACGCACACTGAAATCCAGACGGTAGCAATTTTGTAACTCTTCCGACTCGCATTTTAAATTTTACGCCCAATATTGAAAGGCTTTAGTGGAGCGTAGATGGAAAACAATCCAACGAGGCAAAAACACATAAGATAAGTAGGTAACAAGTCTATTCAAAACTTTAAAAAAATTGTGCGAAGTACCCATCCCTTTTATATCTAGCTGGTTGCAGCACAAAATATTAATTTGATCACCCCCAGGTCATAAATTGTGAGTGATCTCAAAAACAGACGGGGTTTATATTTAGTTCTAATTCAAAAAAAATCGAAAAATATGGGAAAATTACTACAGATAATACGTTATACGCCGATGATTCAAGTGACGAATACCAACGCAAGGCCATGGCAAGTTAGGGCTCCAGCAATTCCCATCCTATGGACCTGTGTTACTGTTTATAGACTCATCAAAACTGTCTAAGGATCAAGTAGACTATTGCAATAAAAAAAGATCCAATCCATATTTATTAAATCCACTTTTCAGATTGGCCTTTTACTTAAATTCATAATAAAACTAAACAAAGTAAGTTAAAAATAAAGAATATTAACAACTTTTGTGAATTGTGGGAAAATCGACGACGAAAACGACGGCCTCAATTACGTACGTACTTTGCGTACTTGATCCCTTATCGGTTTTGATGGGTTTAGTTGGCTTAGTTGGACTTCTATAATTCAGATCATTGTATCCTTTCTCTTTTTGCTACCATCCATACCACCTCAATTGCATTATTAAGTCTTTGGACTAATTGTGTAGCTTTTTCATTATCCTATAACTCTTTCACGTTGACACTTTTCTTCAGTCTTCAAAGGTAAAGCTAAATTAATAAAGTGTGACATTCAGCTCCCCGCAGTGTCTCAACAAGCGACAATTGATTGGAGATGATAATAGCATCATTAAATATTGTATAGTTGTTGTTCTTAATTAAATATTTTTTGTTGAATAAGTTATGTACAACATTTTATTTGCAGATAGATAACTGAGAATGTAATTACATTGCGAGTAATTTTTGTGATTTGTGTCTGTTGCATTTAAACACATTTTTATGTGAAATAAGTATATTTTAATATGTTTTATTTAAAATAGCGATGTAAATATATTATGTTTAGCTAAAAAAATATATTTTCTGGATTCATTGAGTAACCTCTAGTGAGATATGTAATTCAAGTGGCAGGTTACAACCATTCAATGGAATTTAACATTATTATAGGCTGTGACGATGTCATTTGTTTTGTGATCTCAGTGTTTAAAAATATCATATGTTTTTGCTATTCGACGTTCAAAATACCACTTTATTAAAATATATCTACAACATACTCATGTGATTTTAACTATCCGACAACTGTTTCATGTTTTGTTTAAAAATAGTTGTATATTATTCATAAGGCAAGATAATTTTTGTTATGTTTTATGTGTATGTGAACCTTGCGTTGTGTACTGATTATTTGTATATTTCTTTTATGTTGTCATTTGGTTGTACCTACTTGCCGTAAATAAATGATAGTCAAATCGTTATAAGTACTAATAGTACAGTCATTTGGTAGATTTACCTGGAAAGTTTTCCGGGAGTTTTGAAAATTGGTAATTTTATAGATTTTGATGTGCTCTTTCCGAATTTCGTACTAACTGTTTTTATTGTAAAATGAGTTGGAAAGGAGATATTGTCAAAAAATTGCTTTTAGGCGCCATTTCTCCAATATGGCGGCGAGAGCGGCAAAAATACGAGGTGGCAAAGTCGAAATTCGGAAAGAACACCTTATAATTTATAAAATTACCCATTTTCAAAACTCCTGGAAAACTTTCCAGGTAACCACTTCCAAATGACTGTACTATAAAGTTATGTACAATTTTTTCTTTCAAGAATCAAGTAGATGAAATAAATAGATAAAAATATACACAATGAAAACATTTTATTTTATAACCCATTCGTAAACCTTATTTAGATTTGGTAGTCATTTTTTAGAATAAAGTAGTCTGTGTTAATTTTAATTTACAAGTATTTTAAAAAATATAATCCAACTTTAACAATATTCTAAATTGGTATCTATTAAATTATTATTAGTCATCTTAGATAAATTTTACATTGTAATAATCATTTCTTCTTTATTCTGCTTGCAATCCATTCGAGGCCCAGGTGTAATCTAAAACAAAAAGACATTGTTATTTATACGAACATCATATTTGATAACATATTTTATGAAGGTATATAAACTTAATCAAATTACAACATTAAACGCAAGAACTTATAATTTCGTCAAAAGACGCGATTTTCACACACAGTAACAAAGCCAATGGTGTCGATTCTGGCATGATTGCCTAAACTTAAAGCTACATTTAACATCAGCCTCTCGTTTTCATTCTGTAAAAAGAATACCAAGGATGCACTATTGTCAAAGGAGATGTTTCATTTTGGGCTAGGTCTATGTACACATTCCTAAAAAATAGGATATAAAATAAGCATTCCCAGAAAAACAAATAGTTTCTTTACCTAATTTATTGGTGCAATGAAGAATAATGCGGCGATTTTGCCGATGTCTTAATTAAGTCTGTGGTAATATTAGTAATGCAAACATAGTAAGTTCAAAAATGTAATGTGTAAAAGAAAGCGTAAGAAAACTAAAGCAGAATCAAAAACAAACTATAGTACCTCAAAAAATATGGGTTAATATTTTTGAAGTGAAAACTTCTTTAGCGGCGTTGTATACTTTTTTTGTATGGGTAAAAATGTTAAACTCGCGTCATGACACGCGGGCTGATCGTATCACAAGGCCACGTGTCCAGTACCCTTAGCACGAACCAAAATCGAATTCGTTACGTTTGCAAGTCCGAAATGTCATTGTCAAATCTGTACTGATTTTTAGTTCTCGTTACGTACTTTGTGCCACTGCTGTTTAAGTTTCCATACAAAATTTGACATTGACATATCGGTTTGCAAACCATTCGATAATAGTTAGTGCTACGGGTAACTCATCGTAAGACGAAAACAATAAAATTGGAAAGGTTGTTGACTTTCAATATATTGGACGAAACATAGTAGGTAATATTTTATTTTATAGTATTATAATAATGTCTGTAGCTTTATTGCGAAGCAAATGCATTTTTTTTACAATAGATGTCGCTAGGTGCGCTTATGTGATTCATGTAAGTTGATATTGAAGTGAAAACTTCTTTAGCGGCGTTGTACACTTTTTTGTATGGGTAAGAATGTTAAACTCGCGTCATGACCCGTGGCCTGATCGCATCCGGACACCTGATAATCGAAAATTCGTAAGACGAAAACTATAAAATTGGAAAGGTTGTTGACTTTCAATATATTGGACGAATCATAGTAATATTTTATTTTATCGTATTATAATAATAAGTCTGTATCTAGGACGTCCAGGTGCCAGCTTTATTGGGAAGAAACTGCATTTTTTTACAATAGATGTCGCTAGGTGCGCTTAAATGAGAAATTTGAGAGATAAACTTTTTAATGTAATATAAATTGTCATGTTTGTGTACGATAGCGCAATAAATAAATATTGTATTCTACCACATAAATGAAAGTACTTTGATACTGATAATTAAAGAAATTCTTGCAAAATTATTCCCTAACCATTCCAAAATATCAAAACTGCACAACGTTAATATTCAAGTTTTCACTTCTGCCGGCACTCTCGGAGTGCAACCCTTCGTTTTTTTTATTTAAAATAGGTTAGGGACAAGTATTTTCGTATTATACCTAGTCAGGTCATAAATTCTGTCACATGTTTAATATAAAATAATTGAAACAAGTTTATTCATTATGTAACCATTTATATACCAAAATGAACTTAACAAAACATAGATTCTTATGACAATAAAGTTTATTCAAAATGACCTCCGTGATTTTGAATACAGGTCTTCAATCTGCGCGGCCAGTCGTCTATCGCAGCACGGACGAGATCCATGTCAATATCGGCGGCTGCCTTATTCAAGGATGTCTTGAGTGACTCCAAATTGGGATGAGGCTTTGAGCACGCCTTTTCCTCCAATTATTGCCATATCTTGTAATCTAACGGACTCAAATTTGGACTGGAGGAGGGCCAGTCTTCGTGCCGGATGAAGTCGATTTTACGCGCCGCCAGCCAGTCTTGTGTGCTCTTCGCTCTTTGAGCTGGCGCCGAATCTTGTCGGAATACCCAGTGCCTGTTATTGAACATGGTATGAGAAACAGGTTCCACAAGGTTCATCAAGACTGTATTTTGATACACAAATGCATTCGTTTTTACACCTTTCTCATAAAAATGTACCTTTGTTAAGCCCCATTAAGAAACTCCCAACTAGGGATGCAAAGTATTTTGAAATATCGATATTTATATCGAAGTCAGCAAAATATCGATATCCGATATATCGACGATTTTAACTCGATATTATCGATATTTTTTTTCTTTTTTGCTTTGGGTTAAGTTTGCAAAGCAAAAACCTAAAATTAAGGAAGCAAAGGTTTCCAAAATATCGATATTTATAATGTGGGCAGGTAAATATCGATATCCGATCCGATATATCAGCCATTCCAACATTTCCAACACGATGTTTATAGATATTTTCTATATTTTTATAGCACTGTAAGAAGTATCAAATCAAAAGCAATTTCGAATCAAAGATATTTATTTTGTTTAAAATGTTAAAACATCAGGGGCGTGCCCATGGCTTCAGAATAGGGTAAGCCCAAAGCTTCCAAAATTACTATACCTATCTTACTTTCTTGACTTGGCGAGCTTAAAAAATTTACGATTTGTATAAGATTCTTAATTTTATTTTGTGTTATATTACAATGACATTAAATTTCAATTAATCAGTAGTTGACAATTATCTAGAAAGAGAGGCAAGGATTTTATTTAAGTGCATGAGTTACCATTAGGTATACGATTATACCTATATACGTTGGTGTCGATTCTGGCATGATTATCTAAACTTAAAACTAAATTTAACATCAGTCTCTTCTTTTCATTCTGTATAGAGAATGACAAGGATACACTGTTGTCAAATTTAATTTTAGGTTTAGAGAAACATGCCAGAATCCACAGCAGTTTAGTATATTTCTTGGGGTTCAAGATTTTTTTAATACATCTATAAGCTCTTGCGATTTCAAAGCAATAGTTATTTCGATAATTTTCAATTTAGATAGTCATAGCAGGTAAATTAACTGATATTATTGTGTTCAAATTTAGTCTACGAAATATCGATATTTTAGAATTTCCGATATCGATATTATCGATATCAGTGAATTTTAAATATCGATATAAATATCGATATTTTGGTCTCGATATAATCGATATTCCGATATATCGTTGCAACCCTACTCCCAACCATGAGCGAGGATGGAAAATAACCTCGATGGACATGCGGAATACGGTTGCTCGCTTCTTCACTACTGTGTGCGTACACCTTATCATTTTGTTTGTTGTAGCTCTTTTCTACGGTAAAAAATATTTCATCCGAAAAAAGAATTTCCCGATATTTTTTTCCCGCGTACCGCTTCAACAAAGCGCGGCATCTCTTCAGTCTCAGGTCCATTAGACGAGCATTCAAACGATGTCCTGTTTTTCTTCAATATGCCCGAAGCCCTAAGTCTTCATTTAACACCCTTTTCACCGTGGTTCTGCTTAACTCCATCTGAAGGGCCAACAGTTTCTGCTTACGTTTGGGATTTCTTTGAATTCGCGCCTTCACAGCTTTTATCACTGCTGGAGTCCTAACAGACCGAGGGCGACCACTTCTTGACCTATCATCTACACTAGTCTTCATTGTATCGTTTGATGGTACGATAAACGAATCTTTTGGTTATATTAAAATTTTTCAGAATGTCAAAAATTTGAATTTGCTCGTAACCGCAACGATGAAACGCAATAACTGCAACACGGTCTTCTTTAAGCGTCCGCTCCATATTTAAAAATGTGTAAAATTCTAAATAGACTATTTTTTTATTTTCATGAACAATTCGAAATTCGAATTCAATGAACTTTTTTGTGGCCAGCATTTTAAAAGAAAAGTTTTTACTGTGTGACAATACTTATGACCTAACTGTGTAGTATGTATGAACTTGTAATAAAATCTCTTTGGCTATACCATTTGTATCTGGCTGGTTTTGGTATCATTATAAAGTTTAAATTTTAAGGAAGAGAATTATAACAAATTCAAAAATTAGAAAAATGTGTGATTTTTATTTGTTTTTCTTAATGTCATGTTAAGTGAATCTAATGAAGAAAGCATACAAAAAAGTAAAAATGCAACGCAAGCCGCAAAAAAAATGTCATGTTTATGGACCTGGTGCAATGACTGTGGGAGTATAGTACAGTCAATCTGTAGGTTGAGTGGTGAAAAAAAAACCTAAAAGTCTTGTTTTTTCTGTTGCCAAATGACGTCAGTAAGCCACCTTGGCGATGGGCATGTGCAACTCGTAGGCGTTTTTTGAAAAACTCAAAAAAACCGTCAAAAATTTTTTGAAACGCATTTTTCTTGTTTTGTATGCATTTTAGAAACTTTTTTTTTACCATAATTGTAGAGGGCGTTGAGTACTACAATTTATGTCATTGTTGCAATCTCGTACAACAAAAAATCCGTTTTGTAGGTGGCGCTAAAGTCTCAAAAAAGTGTTTTTTCACTTTTTCACCCTGAAAATATCATTTTAATGGAAAACTTTAAATGGCAAAGTTGTTTCATACATAATTACCAACAACTTTTGTATGAACAATTTTTTTGTATTACTTACCGTTTTCAAGTTATAAATTGCGCAGGTATGAAAAATCCAATAGAGCGGTTTTGGGCAGTTCACGTACACATTTGCAGTGCACATTTCAATGTACGTTTTACTATTTTATATTTTTTTTCATGATTGAAAAACAAAAAAAAATGAAAAAAAAAAAATAGTTTTATTTTTATTTTTTTCCATGATTGAAAAAAAACTAGTAAAAACGTAAATTGAAATGTGCACGAGTGAAGACAGTATTCAGTGAGTACTTATTAAGTATGTTCGAGATCTTGTCTGTCACTCCTTTGATATATGGCAAAAATACTGGTTGCCTGCTTACTATGTGTGTCTGGTAACAATCCCGTTAATAGCTATAATGTTAGTGACCATGAAAGTTTAAAACAATATATTTTACGTGGAACGGAACTGTTATAATATATAATTATAAATAAGACGACTGTTTGGCTCAGCAATTTTATAATATCGACGCATTGACAAGTATAGACTAAGGTCAACAGACATAGACTAACTACTCTTATAACGTGAACTATAGAAGTATACCGGTCCCGTAGATGAGTGACGAAAAAAAATGTTTTTATAATGTATGATCAGCGGGCGTAGGTACTGTCCGACCGCGTCAAAATACTTAATAATACTTAAAAGACAAGGGTTATTGAGTTTGAATACAATGTCTGTGCTGTAAGAAGTAGGTACTTAACAATTTGAAAATGCCCACAGCAATAATAAAGAATAAAAAGGATATGTAATAGTGTACTAATGGGATATTAATTAAATATGAAACACTTTTTTATATATATTTTATTCCACATCTTCTTTCGAATCCTCAGCAAGAAGTCATCCAAAATATCAGATTCGGAAGTCTTAGGCAAGCACTACTCAACAGTCGCAGGGAAAGACTTCGAAAGTCCAAATGCAGCAGTCCAAGGCACATAAAAAAAAATCAGAAAAAAACGTAATACGCCGATTTAAATCTTTGCAATACGCATGCACAAGCAACTTCAATGATAACAATAACGACAACAATTCGATGACAAGCATGACAGTGACAGTTATAGTTTTTTGCGTTAGAATTGGCGCCATACTCTTTTTGTACTGTGGGGGTTAATTAATTATGGTTTCAGTATAATATTGAAAATAATGTTTGCGGATATTTATGATAGATAATTAAATATAGTTTAAGCGTAAAGCGATGCAAAACATACGAACAACATATTTAAAGTTGATTTCATCACTAAAATCACTTAAAATAAATAGCTGAAACGCCATGATGACAAGCCACAATAAAAGTAAAAAAAAAAGTCAATTGTGTTTCCCTTTTTTAAATTTTTAATTCCAGAATTAGACAACCCTCCTCAATTGCTTAATAAATCTTTGAGATTATTTTATTAATATTTCTGATAATGACATCTATAGACGCTAAAGATTTACTTCAACAAATATTTCGCCATTGACGTATATTAAGCTAGCAGACCATGGTCGCAACGCGCACATCTAACCTACTGGGTATTTAGTTACTAATTAGTTACACTATTCCCGATTTAGTTGCACAATACCTGTAGAAGATGCAAGCGATCTGCTAGATTAAGTCTTAACCTAGCAGACTACAATACTGTATCTTCGGTTCTCGTAAAGATATCGAAGTTCTGCTAACGGCATATTTAGTTGCTAATTAGTTGCTGTAGGACAGCATTATTTGTATTATCCCCCCATCATCCCCTAATTGCCGCACCAGCACCCGCACTACCCCAGAAATACGATAAAATTAAAGAGAGCTCATCAGAGAATATAAACTACGGCGTATTTTGTTGCTAATTAGTTGCTGCACAATAGCGTTGTTTAAAAAAAATAATTATCAACCCTTAACTCCAGATCATCCCTACAACCACCCCAGAAAATGACGATATCGGAAAATTCTCGTAGGTGGAAAATAGACGCGGCATATTTATGTAGTTGCTAATTAGTTGCTCGCCAAAAACGCAATTAAGAGTATTCTACAATCATCCCCTAACCTCAGATCCAACCCCTCTACTCACTTAGAAACAGTATATGGTTGGAATTCGCACGCAGATGTTTAAAACTGCTGGATGTTTTGTTGCTAATTAGTTGCTCGTCAAAAACGCAATTAAGAGTATTCTACAATCATCCCCTAACCTCAGATCCATCCCCTCTACTCACTTAAAAATAGTAGATGGTTCGAATTTGCACGCAGATGTTTAAAACTGCTGGATATTTTGTTGCTAATTAGTTGCTGCAAAATAGCGTTGCTTATAGTATTTAATTATCAATCCTTAACTCCAGATCAGCACTGCAACCACCCCAGAATAGGACGATATCGAAAAATTCACGTAGGTGGAAAAAAGACGAGGGATATTTAGTTGCTAATTAGTTGCTCGCCAAAAACGCAGATAAGAGTATACTACAATCATCCCCTAACCTCAGATCCAACCCCTCTACTCACTTAGAAACAGTAGATGGTTGGAATTCACACGCAGATTTTTAAAACTGCTGGATGTTTTGTTGCTAATTAGTAAAATTAAGATTATTTGTTAATTTTACATGCAAAAAAATTTTCTCACGCTAAGCAGCCGTGATTAAAAATACTCTAGCAGTTATTTTAGGCTTAATTAAAACGAAAATGAAAGGGTAACACTTTTCATTTCGTCAATTTGAGGTTAAGATTCCGAACGAAGAAAAGAAATCTGTCAAATTCAACTTTCCTTCGAAAGTTTTTTGCATTAGAGTAGGCTTGGAGAATTTAATAGTAAAACTATTTTCGGACTTTTGAATTTTCGAAATAATAAAATAAAAGGAACAGAGTAAGGAACGTGCGAAATTTCGATCGAAATTTAATTTTTCGTTGAAATAGAGTAGGCATCTTGAGGTAAAGAGATTATTGTAGAATATTTTAAAATGTGAACTTAGCGAGCAACTAATTAGCAACAAGATATTCTGCAGTTATATACATCTACGAGCGTATTCTGACCTTTTTTTATTGTAAAAAGAAAATGACTGGTCGATCTGAGGTGAACAGACGATTGTAGAAAAATATCCCGCATTTTTATAGCTGGGATGATTTGTTTTTAAGGGTTGATAATTAAATATTATAAGCAACGCTATTTTTCAGCAACAAAACATCCAACAGTTTTAAAAATCTGCGTGCGAATTCCAACCATCTACTGTTTCTAAGTGAGTAGAGGGGTTGGATCTGAGGTTAGGGGATGATTGTAGTATACTCTTAATTGCGTTTTTGGCGAGCAACTAATTAGCAACTAAATATCCCGCGTCTTTTTCCACCTACGAGAATTTTCCGATATCGTCCTATTCTGGGGTGGTTGCAGTGCTGATCTGGAGTTAAGGGTTGATAATTAAATATTATATGCAACGCAATTTTTCAGCAACTAATTAGCAACAAAACATTCAGCAGTTTTAAACATCTGCGTGCGAATTCCAACCATCTACTGTTTCTAAGTGAGTGGAGGGGTTGGATCTGAGGTTAGGGGATGATTTTAGTATACTCTTAATTGCGTTTTTGGCGAGCAACTAATTAGCAACTAAATATCCCGTGTCTTTTTTCCACCTACGAGAATTTTCCGATATCGTCCTATTCTGGGGTGGTTGCAGTGCTGATCCGAGGTTAAGGGTTGATAATTAAATATTATAAGCAACGCTATTTTGCAGCAACTAATAAGCAACAAAATACGCCGCAGTTTATATTATCTGATGACCTCTTTTTAACTTTATCGTATTTCGTGGGTAGTTCGGGGGTTAATGTGGCAATTAGGTGATACTGGGGGAATAATATAAATAATGCTGTCCTTAAGCAACTAAATAGCAACATAATATCCAGCAGTTTTAAATATCTGCGTGCGAATTCCAACCATCTACTGTTTCTAAGTGAGTAGAGGGGTTGGATCTGAGGTTAGGGGATGATTGTAGAATACCCTTCATTGTGTTTTTGGCGAGCAACTAATTAGCAACTAAATATGCCGCGTCTATTTTCCACCTACGAGAATTTTCCGATATCGTCCTATTCTGGGGTGGTTGCAGGGATGATCTTTAGTTAAGGGTTGATAATTAAATTTTTTAAGTAACGCTATTTTGCAGCAACTAATTAGCTTCAAAATACGCCGTAGTTCATATTCTCTGATGAGCTCTTTTTAAATTTATCGTATTTCGGGGGTAGTGTGGGTGCTGGTGCGGCAATTAGGGGATGATGGGGGGATAATACAAATAATGCTGTCCTACAGCAACTAATTAGCAACTAAATATGCCGTTGCAGAACTTCGATATCTTTACGAAAACCGAAGATACAGTATTGTGGTCTGCTAGGTTAAGACTTAATCTAGCAGATCGCTTGTATCTTTTACAGGTATTGAGCAACTAAATCGGGAATAGTGTAACTAATTAGCAACTAAATACCCAGTAGGTTAGATGTGCGCGTTGTGAACATGGTCTGCTAGCTTAATATATGTTCGCCATTGTGCTTTCTGCACCGCAAAATAAATAAAAATATGGAAAATTTTAATGGTCGGAGTCGACTATGTTCTTGATTTCTTTTCTTTCATTCATTCTTCTTTCCTTTGTTCATTTAATTCTTGATTTCTTTTCTTTCATTCGTTCTTTCATTTGTACACATTATGTTACAAGATCTAGCCCAAGTCCCATACAAATATGACACATCTCCTTTAGTATTAGATTTAGAGAATCGTGCCAGAATCGACATTAGTACATATTAATATATTTAGTTATAATATTATATTAATCAGTATATTTAGTTTTAACGCTTTATATATTAAGCCAATGCGAAAATTATTTCGCTATTTAGTTGATTTTGGCTAATATAGCTTATCTGACGCTGAACGAATAAACAAAATATCCTAATATCTTATTAAAGTAAAAATAAGTTTGTTTGTTAAGCTTGAACCCCTTGTTAGTAGGGCAGGCAATGTGTACATCCGTATTAGGTTTAAACCTGTCTTTCATTGGTATGTCTTACCCTTCTCCGGTGAGCGCACAGCATCCTTGTATGTGCCAAGGATGTTGCTTGATGGATGTAAGGTCGAGTTGCTCTGATATCTCAGCAGCTGTCATAGATCCTTTCACGTCCTGTGTATAATAAAAAATAAGATCGATATACATAGAATACTAGATTTATTTCTAAGGATTTAATTTGGTCATATTTCTTGTAGTTCAGGTAAGGTTTTTGTTTTAATTTATTACCAAATATTTGCAAGAAAGGCTTTTTGAAGAAAAACACATGTCCTATGCCTGCTCTTAAACTTAATGGTAATCTACAATTATAGTCCGGCCGCTGATAGATTGCGTTTCTGACAGGTCGTGTCAGTTCCTTATGTTGATAGCATTATTTTCGAACCCTTTTTTTATTATACTTCGACTTTTTATTAGCTGCAGTAAAATGACGTCTCATAATGCCATTACGTAAAATAATGTTGACAGCCTAATTTCAATAGGGAGGTGATTAGGTTCACAGAAAATCTAATCGTTCCATAACTCATAATGATCATACTTAATTCTATTTATTATTCATATAAATAAAAGGCTGTATAAAATCACAAGTTGGTACTGGTTTTTAGTTACGGTGCCACGATGAGGCTTGTCCGCCATTTTATTTCATTTGTCATTCGCTCATTCGGCTTCTAACTTCTGTTTTGACTGCACGAATAACTTTGCTTTGCCCACTGCGAGTTGTTTTAGTTATAATATTTTTTTATTTTTTTTTATATTTCCAACACTTACACCAATTAGCCTAGCCCCAAAGTAAGCACGATAAGGCTTGTGTTATGGGATATTAGGGTAATGGATAGAATACATATAATGTACATATATAAGTATATTTATATAGAAATACATATTAAACATCCATGACTGGAGTATAAATGCTCGTATTCATCACACAAACATCTGCCCCCACCGGGATTCGAACCCGGAACCTCTCGAGTCGGTGTCACCATGGAACCCGGCGTACAAACCACTTGGCCACGAAGGTCGTCAAATTATATATTGTTAAATTTTTGTTACGTTGTGTTTGTTTTTCGTTACCTACTTACTTTTGTTAATCGTGTCAGCTTTTATTTGTTTGTTACATCGTTACATTGAAAATTTGCATACATATTAAAGGAGACTGTTAGACAAATTATTGTTCGAAATCAATTGCTTACCTCTATTTTATCGAAATAAACTTATTTTTACTCAATTTCACTTAAAAAATAAACAGAAATAGTTTAATAATTGCAGAGCAACAAGTAGTCACCAAAAACTGTGTGGCGGAATGATGACGCGGTATTGACGAACCAACGGCATATTTTTTGAATATCGCGTTCTTATTGATGGAAAAGTATAGATTGCCATATGTAAATCGAAGCGCTCGATAAAGCTGTATCCAATGCAATCAAAATATGAAAACCACCAAATGTCGACTTACGCGGTGTTAATATAAACGGCGATTTGCAATGCGATAGTTGTACTAACTTCAAGAAAGTATTCATGATTGCACGTGCGCCCACACTTGCGATAATTTTAAAACGATTAATCTGCAACTTTTTTAGTTGTATGTCCCCGCAATTTTAGGGCCACGCGATAGTTGTACATGAATCGTTTTCTATATGAATCTATCGCAGCGCGCACTTTGAACAATAGTTGCTATCAATAATTATTATCGAAAATTATTTCTATGAAGTTGACGTGTTCAACTGCAACTTGCATTGTACAAAAAATTAATATAGACTTGAAACTGCTAAAAGTACACAAGCTGCAGCTACCACAACTAAATCCATATGTTTCTGTCTAAATAATTGCAGTTGCAATCATCTAATGTGTTAATTATGTGTAATAAATGCACGACGACACAATTAGTTGCAAGTGTGTTTTAGCTCTTAGTTCTTGTTCGGAGATACTTCAAGAACAGGCAACAGTAACTTATGAACCACTTTTCGGCGCCAACGCTATACTATAGTGTTTGTAATAAAATTATCTTCATTTTAATGTATAATTTGATTAGTACGCAGATCGGTACAATCACCTATGTCAAGTTACCTGTTCATACCTGCTTGCCTGGTAGTAGTGAACAGAAAAATAAGGCAACACTAACTTTTTCTTATCCCTTAAGCAGCATATTTTTGATAAAAATTATCTGGTAAACACTTGATTAAAACATGAAAAATAATTTTACTTAAAGTTTATTAAATTATAAATACAAATGAACAATTTTTGGCACACAAGTCATAACGATTAGTTGTTTTCTTTATAAAAAATACTTGATAAAATATACTTTTCGTCTGGTAAGCAGATGAGTGAAGGAATACCTCTCTTTGTATCTCGTACTACTGTGTTCGTTATTGTCAGGACAAAGTTTGTAGAAAACAAACAGTAAAAAAGATAACAGAATTATTAAAACAAAAAAAAATCTAAACATTACTGGCTATCTAAAAAATCCAAACGCTTTTTAATTATCATAATTTTCGAATTATTCGTAAGTGGCTGACTGACAGTCAGATTGAAGGTCTGATGACAAAATATAAAACATAGCTTTTTTTTTCAATGACAAAACGGTATTACGGTGGAATTACGTGTAGTTTTGATTTGTATGGTATATTTTATAGATATTGATAAGAAAATGTCACTGGAGTCAAGAATACCAATTTGGTTCAGTCGTTCGGAAGTGATGTGCGTGCGATATACTTAGTTATCGACGATTAATTTTTATATAAGTAAATAGATTTGCTTGACATTTAACTCCTAATAAGTAACAAGAATTTTCCTAGTAGATATTTATAAAAATCGTATGATATCATTGGGTAGCGGTTGCTTCTTCTAGAATAACGGACATATTGTTAGAAAATGTATTATATATAGCTAGATTAAGGTGTTTCGGGAGTTCAATGATTTTACTGCTGCCTAGTTAGAGATTTCCGCGACAATTATTCCAAGATTAACTACTGCCAATGAAATAAAGACTTGCCTTTAATTATCGAATTTATAACACCATTTAAGTAATGAATTTTCAATCGGAAGTACGCCGGTTCAGCTACATAGTTTTATATATTTTTGACCAACATTAAGTGAAATTCACAATTTTATAAGTTGTAAAAACGAATTACAGATTACATTACTTAATTTGGATTCCATATATTTTTTTGATCTTTTTGAAGTTCAATTTAAAGCTCTTTGCATATAAAAGTTTCAGTTTAAAGTAGAAGTGTAGTTATCAAGTTAAATTTTCTTAGTAGTGTTTCTATAGCAACTTATTTTATTGATAAAACGAATATATGTTTTCTAAGCTTAGTCCATTAGTAATATCAAATTTCTTTTGGCCAGAAAGTAGAAGAATATTTCGTCCTTTCCTTTTTAAGCTAAGAGTTATGCATGTCTTGGGGTGTAATATTTAAATTACCACATAAGGTAATAATTGCCACATAATAAGTATAATGTACAGAACTTAAGTTTCACTTGGTTCCACACCGTGAATAGCGCACGTACCTACGCAGAGCGCGTAACAAAAAAAACTGGGCAAGTGCGAGTCGGACTCGCCCACCGAGGGTTCCGTTGAAATTTGTAGGTACGCAACACAGTATTTTTTTATGTTAAGCGTTACTGGTTCGCGAAATATCTATAAAGAGCTCTAGAATTTTTAAGTTTTTTATAAAAGATCTTCTTGTTGCTGAGTTTAAAATATATATGATATTGTAGCCTCTTAACTAGTGAAATGATAATAGTGAATACACAATAGGGAAGATGCATATATAATATTTATGAAAATTTTATGATTAAAATGTTAAAAAAATATAAAAGAAATGCCACTGCAACGTTTTTTTTTACATAATGTTGTTTTTTAACAATTATTACGAATTAAAAATACTTGAAACGGAACGTATTTTAAAACACCAATCAGCGTTTAGTGACGTCACTCCCGTTATGACAACTTCTTTGAGGTTATGGTTGTTAAAGTAAATATTATTTTATGGGAACATTTATTGCGTTTTTTTACATTTAATAAAAATGTAAGTTGCGTTTATCAAAGCAGACTCCAGGAATTTACCAAGAGTTAGCGTTGACATGGTTATAACTTTTTTTGTCCAAAGTGCAGAGTTTTTAAGTGTAGAAATGAAAGGGACTAAATTACTACGGTATGTAAAAATCGTAGTTGTTAAACTTCGTATTTTATTTAGCGGCTTCTACAAATCTTACGGCGATAATGCAATCGGCTATGTCCAAATTAAAAGAGATGGAAAATTATGTACAGTAAAAGGTCGAGTTCTCCGGAGCATAAAGTACATAAAGAAGGTTATCGTGTTACAGTTATTTTAAATGAAACGCAAAGCTTGGTTCAGTCCTGCCAATGTGAAGATTGTGCCACACTTTATCTAATTTTCGAAGTCATTCTCCAACTGTAAAATTAAAAATATGTTATAGACAGGTTTTGTAAGTATTAGGTAGATTACTAATGCGTTTTTACGTACAAGCAGATTAATTAAGCATATAACAAGTATATTCACCGACTTACGTCAAAGTGATCTTCTCAGCATCGAATAATGGTCTTTGGAGAATAATTGTCATTTCTCTTCGCAGCTTGAAACCACTTTATTTTCAGTTTTGGGTCAGAAGTTCCAGTCAAAAACAATTTATTTGAGAATTTTGTTGAAGTAGATTGGCACAAAACATGAGCAAACACGGCTTTTTTTCGGAATATTAGTGGTATTGTTATGATCACATGATGTTGATGGATAGTACATTTTTAATTTTTCAAAAAAATATTTCGAAAGTCGAAAAAATATGCAAAAGTATGAAAATTTAAAGCCAGCAACGAACAATTACGACCAGTGACAGACAGGAGTGACGTCATCGCATCCATAGGTTCGTTTTCGCGCGAAAATTTAAATTGTCAATTTAAAACCGCATTTTTTCCGATAAATCACAAAATTTTTAAATTTTTTAATATATCTGTGGTTTATTCTACATGGAATTCTTTAAAATGAAAACAAAAATAAAAATATTGCATCTTCCCTATTGGAATTATATCACTCGATAGAAAAAAATCAAAGATTGTAAAATAAATATCTTACTTCTGACCCGTTTAAAGTTTTGGAACATTTGCCAACTTATTGATAATTAAATAAAGTAATGAATTCATCAATAAAAACTTTAAAAATATTTATTTTAATTTAACTTTAAAGCATGATATCAAATCGTCCGCTCGCGTTGAGAAATTTCGTTGGCTTCGGAATGAGAAATTTCGTTGGGACCTAAGGTACCTTAACTTAGAAGTTTAAATTTTTCACCGATTCAAGAGACCGTAGACGTGAGTAGGTATATGATTTAACTAGATACCCGGTCCCTAGATAAAGGGTTTTGACAGAAAGACACAAACGGATAACAAAGTGATTCTAAAAGGCTTCCGGTTTTTCCTTTTAAGGTACGGAACCCTAATAACCCGCGAAGTACAAGGCAAAGAATTCACTCACGAAGGCGTTCGTAAAATTGTACAAGGTTAATCATTATAAAATTTAAAATATGTACATCTATTACTATAAGGTCGAGCAGGAAATACGTGAAAAGCAATCTCGTTTCATGTATACCCACTTTGTATTTTACTAGCGGCCACCCGTGACTCATCGTTCGCGTTATCGTTAGTTTTTTTGGGAATCCTTCAGGAACCTGACACTTTTTCGGAATAACTAGTATCCTTTGTCTCAATCCAGGTCATAACTATATGTGCACCAAATTTCAACGAAATCCGTTCAGTAGTTTTTGCGTGATTGAGTAACAAACATCACAGAAAAACTTTCACGTAATTTCACGTAATGGCGACAATATTAAATACATTAAAAAAAATGTATATCCACTCTCACAGACACTTAGACCAGAAAATACTATTTATCTTGTTCTTGAACGGACGGACAACCGGCACACTTCGGATAGATACGAAATCCTAATTAATATGACATAGCTATCAGAGTCCAGCGTAATTACGAGCAGCAACATCATCATAATATTTGATCTGTTATATGGACAGTTTTACAGTTTATTATTTGTAATAATATATAATATTTTTAATAAACATAGAACCGAATTCAAAAATATTTGATCTACCTTCTTAACAAATGGCTTGGTATCGAAAATTCTTCTTCTTCTGTCGGTCGGTCAGTCAGTCGGTTAATCTTATTTCTTCATTTTATGTGCAAACGTTTAAAAATCTCTGATCTATGGCATCTGAAGACGTAACAGCGGCTAGTGGATATTGACCTGTTATCACCAAAAGGTTCTGATAATTTTTGATATAGGTATTTCGTGTATTGTAAAGATAATACGCCTATCAGAATAAAATATATATTGGTCTAATATATTGCAATGGTTTTATTAGATTTCGTATACCTAGATATACAGGTCGCGGCACGTAACTCTAGCGCTGAACAAAAAGCGGAGGGGATAGCTGCGCATGGGTACGACTGGAGAGCCAATCGGCGCAACGCACGCCCACCCACGCACCTCATTTCCCCCAAGACATCTTAATTTTTACTTCTGCGCAATAACGGTCAGCGCTTGTTTCGTGCCACGACTTATATCACTATTTGTTTATCTATCATACAAATACATTAAGAATTATATCAATTTGCTACTCATCCGTAGAACGGAGGGGGCCGAATTGATAAATTACCAATGGAGGCACTTATTACAGGTGAATAAAATAAACATACACTTTAATGTTCAATGCTCAGCCTTTATGTTTTTTTGGTAAGTAGCTACTTTATGGTTTCTCTTTAAACCAAATAGGTTCAATAACTGCAACTGGATTAGACACCAAGTAGTGGCGAATACTCAAATATTAGCTCTGCAGTTGCACTGTATTTTTTTGTAGGGAAAGCAAATGGATGGAATTTCAGTGCCATTATTGACTACACAGAAACTAATAATACAAACAAACAAAAAAAGATAAAAAGATGGTTCCATTGTTGCTTTTTTAATTACACACCATTTAGCCTAGGCTCGTCATACTGATACGTATATAAGTATATTTTTCTAGAAATATATATATTTTATAATATTGTGGCGTTGCTGTTCAAGTTGACATCCAAAATTTGACATTGACATTTCACACTCGCAAACTAGTCGAACTCGATATTGGTACTGATTGCCTGTATTCATCATACTAACATTAGGACCACCGTGATACAAATCCGGGCAACTCCGAGTAGGCGACACCTTAAAACGCAGGGCCTCTATACTATTCGGCCACGCAGGTCGTATTGATGAACAAGTACCTATTTGTCTTTGACGTTTCTACAGCGATTTATGTGCATCTGTTTGTACTTACCTGTTTATTAGCGAAGACGAGAAGGCACGCACGACTGAGTTCTTCGTGCGTCAACATCCGATGTAGTTCTTCTCTGCTGATGCCGAGTCGCTGCCGATCCGTCGAGTCTATCACCATTATCACAAACTGCAACGGGAGAACCACCCATTTTAATAGTTTAGAGCTTTAGTAAGCGTTGGGCCACTACAATCAGAGGCCCAAGCGCGAACTTTGACAGATCCGTGATCGTATCGCATCGTCAAAGTTTCTATGATAACTAAAGAGCGCTCCTACCGGACGTAAGAACAAACTGGCTCCTTCCTCCTTCCATACAAAATTTGACAGTGACGATACGATTACGGATCTGTCAAAGTTCGTTCGTGCTCTCCTAACTAATTCTAAAACATTGATTTTGCATAGATAATCAATTAGGAGGGATTGGAGGACGCTCGATTGCGCAGGTGGCGAGCGCGTTGGGCCTGCGATCGTGGAAGTAAGGCAACTTTCACAAACTTTCATTGTGTCCTGCCCGCGTGGTGAGTCATGGCCCTGTGACCTAGGCTGATGATGATGTGCCATGCCCGCGTGGCGGGTCATGGCCCTGTGGACTAGGCTGCTGATGGTGTGCCTTGAATGCTTGGTGGGTCATGGAATCATCATCAGCCTAGGCCACAGGGCCATGACTCACCACGCGGGCAGAACACAATGAAAGTTTGTGAAAGTTGCCTTACTTCCACGATCGCAGGCCCAACGCGCTCGCCACCTGCGCAATCGAGCGTCCTCCAATCCCTCCTAATTGATTATCTAGGCTGATGATGATGTGTCTTGCCCGTGTGGATGGTCCTTGCCCTGTGACCTAGGCTGATGATTAAGATTATCAAATTAGGTAAAAGCGATTTGGGCATGGCACTAGTTGAGTAATGTTTTTTTATATGAGGCGCACCCCAACTTATTCAAGTGTAAGTGGTGTCCAATCGCGAAGATAGATGCATGTAGCAGAAGGTGTGAACTTTGTGCCCAATATCATAATTGTTGGACCCTTATAAAGAAATTCTACAGCTTAGTAATTAATAATAAATATTACACAGCAGGCCGCAATTGCAATCAGAATCAAATAGTGCCGTTGATGATACTGAAACATATGGGTGCGAATAGTGCGATTATTGGCCACCTTCACATTCCTCGCCAAAGCTAAGATGCTCGACAAATTAATGATTAATCTGATGATATGATTTTTACTAAGATAACAGACCCCTATGAAGTCTTTCAACTTAGTAACGCATTGCTTAGTAAGACATTTGGGATAATTATAAAAACTATTTTGCCTTAGGTATGTAGATACAAGCATTCTGCAATTCGCTTGAAGCAAGTGAGAACTACGTTTTTGACTTCGCACAGCCAATTGAAATAGATACACCATCCAACTAACACAGATGGAAATGAATTAGTATATACACAAGCATACACCTTGTTTCGCAACTGCAATTTATAATCAAAATAATTAGATTGCCTAGGTACTATCGCGGAATTTTGCGCTCTGTCATTTGGCGAACAAAATGCTTTGAACGGTTTTCTACAGTAGTTTTTACTACGCCCATATGGCATTATGGGTGACAGAGCGGGTCTTTCCGCGAGTGTACATTGATAAAACAAAATTATGAACAAATAAGTAAGGTTGTTTAGTTGTTCCCATAATAAAATGGCAACATTGAGCCATTAACAAAATAAATATGAACTGCTAACTTTCCAACTTTTCATTAGTAGTGATTTAATATAATGTAGTACTTTGATTGATTTTTAGACCCCTTCCTTGTATTAACACATAATGATTACAAAGTCAGTATTGACTAAATTCCAAAGATGGATTAATATATATATTACCAACTGCCCCATTGCAGATAAAACAGAAACTTGCAGTTTAGTATATTTTCTTGGGTTGAAATTTATTTTACATAATTATGGTCACCTATTTTTCGGTGGTTGTTGTTGCAAATTCACTAATTGTCAATTATTATAAGGCCTTATTATTATTGAAGAATAAAAAAATTGAAAAATATTTATAGATAAAATCAACATTTACAATCTTAGTTTGACTTGTTATCTTTATTATGACATTACAAAAGAATCATTTGAATGTTGCTAAACTGAAGCTCTCGCAAATAGTATAATATAGTAGGATTCAAGTATCTATTACGCAAATCAAACAAAGATCTACATGATTTACACATATATTTCTTCAATGCAACTCACTTTACTATCTTATCTTTGTTTAAGCAATGCTAAGCTAAATAAATACTTTTACAACTATAAGATGTAACAATATGTTTTTGATATATTTTAAATTTTAGCATTAAACTGCTAGATTGTTATATCTAAAGATTTTTAAATAGTTATATTTGTAGTTAAATTAATTTTGAGTTACGATAACTGGTGTTTATAATGTTTTGAACAGAATTATAAATTAATATTATTGCTCATAATACCCAAGGTAATATTCCACACTGTCTGGCAATAAAAGAAAAATTATTTCATATATTTTTCTTCACTGCTGGAATGGTGGATGAAATCAACAACAAATTATACAAAGGTTGTTATTTCAGCAAATATTTTGATATTAATTATGCGAAACTATATTGACACTTCTATCAATCCACATATTAAAGCTTCCTTTTACTTCCTATGTTGCATGATATTGTGGATGATACAGCAGGCTTTCCTTTTCTGATAGAATCACACTTTCATTACATTATATCTATCACAATATAATATGTAAGACTTTGAAATAGTATAATTAGTAGTTCAAAGACATTCTACTCAGACTTATAAAATAATTAAGAACATAATTATTATAAGTCTGAGTAGAATGCCAGTCCTACAACAAGTATGTTACCTTAAAAGTATTTTGTCAATGTTAAACTTAATATTGTTACTCTTGTTAGTTAATAAAGATATTTTGTCATATTCAACATGCACACATTTTTGTACCATATAAAAAGATTCATAAACATGAGTTATAATTAAGGATCAGCCCCTCTAGCATGACTACCGAAACGGGATATGATAAAGCGATATATCAGCATTAACTGTCAGACTACAGTGGAGTTTGACAGTAGTCTGACAGTTAATGCCGATATATTGCTTTATCATATCCCGTTTCGGTGGTCACGCTAGAGGGGCAGATACATATAAAAATAAAGACAAACATATAAATTTAATAAAAAAATGTAGTCTGTACCTCACTGTTTGTATAGTAGGTGTTCCATGCAGATCGCAAACTCTGTTGTCCACCAAGGTCCCACATAACAAAGCGGAGATTCCTCCATACAACCTCCTCAACATTGGACCCAATAGTTGGTCTTGTATGAACAGCTTCACCAAGAAGCAGCTGGTAAAGGATTGTGGTTTTGCCAGCATTGTCAAGCCCCACCAACACAAGCTTGTGTTCTGTTTAAAGCAGCATAAATGGAGTTTATGTATCAAGATAAAAATAGGTTAAATAAAAAGCTCGATTACGATATAAATTACTTATTTGACAGCTGTACTACAGTGTTAGCTACACTAAGAACAAAGCTTTTTAAGTATTGGATCAAACAATAAGTAGGTACATAGTTACAAGAAATATGCTAACTCGAAATAATGAAATATTTATGACTTCAAGGCCATTCCTATACATATTAGAAAAGAACATCTTTTATCTTATTCATCCT